TGAAGAGAAGCTCGGGAACCTCTGGGACAACTTGAAACATTCCAATATCTGAATTAGAGGTGGGCTAGAAGGAGAACAAGAGGAAGAAATGGAAAACTTATTTGTACAAATAATGAAGGGGACTTCCGCCAAGATGAAGGCATAGGTGGAAACATTGTGCCTTCTCGCACAACCAACTTTAAAAACAACAAAGTTTTAGCAACAAAAACGCAGCCAAACCACAGAAAATTGAACTATACTGAAGTCCAACAACAACGAACCATTCAGCTAGACCAGTAAGAGGGGCAGAGCCAGCAGTGGAGCAGGGTCGGGCAGGAAAGATCCACTGGACCGACCCAGGCATGCAGGCAACCGAGGACGGATCCCAGGTGTGGAATAGCATTGGGTGGACCCACTGAGGGCACAAGGCGGCAGGCTCATCTTGGTCACACATTCGTGCGCAGATAAACCAGGTGAAGGAGAAAGCAGTGAAACAGATTGCACAGGCCTCACCAGCAGGAAGCAGCAGAGGGGACTGCTATTGTCCCTCTCTGACCCCGCCCCCACATACAGCATCACAACCCAGCTAGCTGGGTGGCCCCGCCCTGGTGAACACCTAAGGCTCTTCTCCTCATATGTAACAGGTGCGGACAGACCAAAACATGGCTGAAGAAGAACTCAGAGCCTGAGCCAATAAATCTAAGTGAACAAGAAATTGCCAACCTATCAGATGCACAGTTCAAAACACTGGTGATCAGGATGCTCACAGAACTGGTTGATTTTAGTCACAAATTAGAGGAACATATGAAGGCTAAACTAATTGAAATGAAGGGAAATGCACAGGAAATCAATAGTGATGGAAAGGAAACTGGGACTCAGATCAAGGGAGTGGACCAGAAGGAAGAAAAAAATGACCAAACAGAAATATGAAGAAACAAGAATTCAAAAAAATGAGGAGAAGCTTAGGAACCTCCAGGACATCTTTAAATGCTTCAACATCCGAATTATAGGGGTACCAGAAGGGGAAGAGGAACAGCCACAAGTGGAACACTTACTTGAACAAATAATAAAGGAGAACTTCCCCAACCTGGCAAAGGAAATAGGCTTCCAGGAAATCCAGGAAGCTCAGAGAGTTCCAAAAAAGTTGGACCCAAGAAGGAACACACCAAGGCACATCATCATTACATTATCCAAGATTAAAATGAAGGAGAGACTCCTAGAAGCAGCAAGAGATAAGGGGATAGTCACCTACAAAGGAGTTCCCATCAGACTGTCAGCTGATTTCTCAAAAGAGACCTTACAGGCAACAAGGGGCTGGAAAGAGGTATTCCAAGTCATGAAAACCAAAGATCTACAACCAAGATTGCTCTACCCGGCAAAACTTTCATTTAGAATGGAAGGACAGATAAAGTGCTTCTCAGATAAGACCAAATTCAAGGAGTTCATCATCACCAAGCCCTTATTATATGAAATGTTAAAGGGACTTACCTAAGAAAAAGAAGATAAAAAAGATGAACAGTGAAAGGACAGCAAACTCACAGTTATTAAGAACCACACCTAAAATAAAAGCAAATTAAGAGGACAGCTAGATCAGGAGCAGAACCATAGAAATGAAGATCACACGGAGGGGTAGCGACAGGGGAGTGGGAGGAGGAGAAAGAGGGTGAAGGTACAGAAAATAAGTAGCATAGACAATAGGCAGAAAATAGATAGGGGGGAGGGCAAGAATAATAGGGGAAATATAGAATCTAAAGAACTTGAGACACATGGACATAAAAAAGGGGGGAATGGTGGGGGAGGGTTGTGCAGGGTGGAGGGGAATGAAGGGGGGGAATAGAACAACTGTAATGGCATAATCAATAAAATATATATTAAAAAAATAATGAAGGAAAACTTCACCAATCTGAGGAAGGAAACGAACTTCTAGGAAGTCCAGGAAGCCCAGAGAGTCCCAAAGAAGTTGGACCCAAAGAGGAACACACCAAGGCACATCATAATTTAGTTACCCAGGATTAAAGATAAGGAGAGAATCTTAAAAGCAGCAAGAGGAAAGGAGACAGTTACTTACAAAGGCATCTGCACAAGGCTATCAGCTCATTTCTCAAAAGAAACCTTGCAGGTAAGAAGGGGCTGGAAAGGAGAATTCAAAGTCATGAAAGGCAAAGATGACTCTATCCAGCAAAGCTATCATTTAGAATGGAAGGGCAGATAAAGTGCTTCCCAGATAAGGTCAAGTTAAAGGAGTTCATCATCATCAAACCCTTATTGTATGAAATGTTAAAGAGATTTATCTAAGAAATTGAAGAAGATCAAAAACTATGAACAGTAAAATGACAACAAACTCACAACTCTCAACAAATGAACCTTAAAAAAGAAAGAAAAACAATGAAAAAAACTAAGCGAACCACTAGAACAGGAACAGAATCAGAGAAATGGACATCATATGGAGGGTTTCAGTGGGGAGGGGCAGAGAGGGATAGAGGAGAAAAGGTACAGGGAATAAGAAGCATAATTGTGAAAAATAATTTAAAAAAAAGCATAATTGGTAGGCATAAAATAAGATGGTGAGAGGTAAAAAATAAGATGGTGAGAGGTAAAAAAAAATGGTTTAAGAAACAGAATTCAAAGAACTTGTAAGTACAACCCATAGACATGAACTAAGGCAGGGAATGCTGTAGGGTGGGGGATGCAGGAAGGAGGAAGGATAAAGGGAGAAAAATTAGGAAAACAGTAATAGCATGATCAATTTTTTAAAAAACTACAAATAGGTAGTTACAGAATAGCCATGGGGATGTAAAGTACAGTATTGGAAATGGAGTAGCCAAAAAACTTAAACACATGACCATGGATATAAACAATGGTGAGGGAATTAGCTGAGGGAGTGTGTGGGGGGGGGGGGCTGGGTGGAGGGAGACAAGGGGGGAAATTTTTGACAATTGTAACAGCATAATCAATAAAATACAATTTAAAAAGTAAATCTAGCCCTGGCTGGTGTGGCTCAGTGGACTGAGCGAGGGCCTGAGGACCAAGGTCACGGTTCGATTCCCAGTCAGGGCACATGCCCGGGTTGCAGGCCAGTTCCCAGCAGGGAACACATGAGAGGCAACCACACATTAATATTTCTCTCCCCCTCTCTCCTTCCCTTCTCCTCTAAAGATAAATAAATAAACATTAAAAAAATAATAAAATAAATAAATAAATAAATCTAAGTAAGCAGTACTAGAGCCATCATACAGAAAAAACATAATGGAGATTTTGGCCAACCTAATACAACATCCCTGAACACCTAGTGCTAATTCATTGCCCACACTAAGCAAGTAATCATTTGCTTTGATGGCCACAGGGGACTCCAGCTACCCTTACCTGTCACTGTCAGGAATCTCTTCCACATTGCCAAAGCCAGGTGTTGGCATTGGGCAGTCCATGTGTGAGGGCTGGGCAATGTGAGGCTCAGAGACAGGGATGTCCCCAGGAGAGGCTGCATGGGCTTTTTCAGCATCCAGCCTAGCCAGTTCATGATCACAAACGAAGCACTCGAAACCATTGAGGTAGTTAGGCAGTAAAGGATCATTCACCCCCCACTCCCGGTGCTTCAGACTATCTAGAAGGAACTGGTTGGTGATGCCCCCAGGTTTTTTGTATGCCAGATATTTCATATATTCCTCATCATTCTTGTCCAGAAAGTCAATAAACTCTGCCAGCTTCTGAGGTGACTCAAAATCATCAATGAGGATGATGGAGTGATTGTTGGGCATCCAGTCCTTCACAGAGGGAGAGCCGCGATACACAGGTACCGCACCAAGATGCATGGGCCGCCACAGTTTTTCTGTCATGTAGTCATCACAGATCGCATTTTCGAGGGCCAAATGGAACTTATAGCGGGACAAGAAGGCCAAAAGCTCTGGATCCTCCGTGGTGGCTGTGGTTGTGTCCTGTAACCGTGGAGTGGGCAGCTCCCGATTTTGCAGGCATTTCCCGTATGAATCCACCTGAGTGAGATAAAATACAGCTGTCATGAGGGTACAGCCTGTTGTTGGCCTGGACATCAGGGGTCCTGGTCTCAGCCCGGCGTGCCCCCACCCCTCCCAGCCCCTCCACATCTGCACCCACCGGGATGTAACGCATGAGCTCGCGCACGTAGCGGTCCCTGTCCGCAGGCACATCGCAGTGAGACTGCAGATAGAGCAGGGGTGCATAGCCGCGGCGGCGCCACTCCGCACGTTCCTGGATTGGGGGCCCTGCGCGGAGTAGGTAAGCAGTCCCAGGCAACCACTGCAGAGACAGCGGGTAGTCAGAGTGGCGGCTGAAGGTGGCGGTAAGATTGAAGAGGCGGATGCCCGGGCCGTGGCTCAACAAGAAGTTGTTGAGGGGCGACTCCTCGTGAAGCAGGGCCCAGCTCTGATGGGCCAGACGGGGCAGAGGTGCCTCAGATGCGCGGAAGTCTGTGCCGTAAAAGAGCAGCGCGCGCGTGCGCGAGTCCCCTCGCACCCTTCTGTCCCGGGATGCTACGCACGCACCACGAGCACATTCAATGCGCTCCGAGTCACCCGGGAAGTGAGGAAACAGCGCTGGGCTCCACCACAGCAGCAGCGGCAAGTCCGTTGTTTCTTTCCGCCCCGGCCACAGGGTTCCCGGACTGCGTGCCACCCCAACTGCGCCTAGTGCTGCGGGTGGCCGGAAAACCGCACCATCCCATGGCTCCGCCCACTCTGCCTCCCCACCAGGTTCCCCTTCTATCACGGGCCCAGGGACGCTGGCCACACAAACACTAAGCATTCCCAGGGCGGCAAGCACAGGCCAGGTGCGATGGGCCGCCATGTCCACTCTGGCAGCCAGCCCCCCTTAGACAGTAGCAGACCCCGCCCCGCAGTTGTAACGGGAACAGGGCCTTACGCCACAGGGCCAAACGGCGCGCGTGCGCAGCTCCTCTTAGCCGTCCACTTCCCAGGAGCTATTGCGCCTGGCAGGAAGGACTAGAGGGCAAGTGACAAGACACGTCGCTGGAAAAATGAGACTACGGGTTACTTCTTAATTTATTTTATTTCTTTACAAATTAAAGATGCATTGAAAAATAAACCAATGAAGAGAAATGAGAGGTCCAGAGCAGGGGCATTGAAGGCTGGGAGCAAGCCCAGCCACCATCAAGCCTAGCCCTTGTCTTGCTCCAGCCGGTTCGCGATGGAAGGAAGATACCTGTCAGCCACTCTGTCAATACCAAAGCCCAGGTGGTGTCTCGGGAGGAGAGAACAGAGCTCTGGCCACCTTCACCTCGTTCCCCAACAAACCCTACGTTGGAGAAGGAGTGTTGCCAGTGGGAGCTCAAAGTGCGATGTGGGTTGGCTCTGTGAGGTATTCCAAGTTGATGACCAGGCTTCCTACAGAACCATCCAGTGCTGGGCCTCTCCAGCTGGAAAGGAAGTGGTACCTCTCCCAGGTCTTTATATACTTTGCAGCTCAGTTCTCACGCTCTTTCACCTCTGACAACGTGCCTCTATCCACGGATTCATCACCAATCATTGCAGGACAGAAAAAAAGCAGTGGAAGCAGAGAAAGCTAATCCACCACCCACCACCCTTAGTAATTTTGACTTGGCTGCTGACTTCAAGGCCCAAGGAGGACCAACCACTTTTCTCCCCACTACCTCAGGGTTATAGTCAAGCTCTTGTGCACCTGTATGTTTGATCCCTAATATAGGAAGTTGTTGATGGCACTGAGCTGAACTAGCCCCTCTCCCAAAATAATCCTGGGATCTCCATTTCTTCCTGCCTGCTCCCTCTTCTTGGAGGTTGGTCCAAAAGGACACGATACTGCCAGGGTCTAAGTGCCCCCAAATCCCCCAACACGGAATCATATACAGTGAACTGAGAAACTACATTCATTACAACAGGATTAGCAGGAAAAGGAAGGCAAAGTGAGGGGACAGGGGCACCTTCTGTCAGCAGGACATGACAGAGTGGTAGGATACTTGAGCCCAGAAAGAAGGTGTCTCCTCATACCTCCCCCTCCCCCCAAAGAGACTGAGGTCAGCTTACATGACTTACAAGATATGGAACTGTCCTGGTTTCCCTGCCACCCTGGGGTACTTTCTGGAAACTGGCCTAGGACCCTATGCCATTTACCCACTTGCTCTAGCTCAGTAGTTGCCGAATCTCCTTGTGCATATGACAGAGAAAGTCCACATAGGATGCTCCCCCATTCAGGCTCTTGTCTTCCACCAGGAAGTGCTTGAACAGCATCTCCAGCTTGTCCTCCTGTTTCACCACGATAAGCTAAAGCCAGAAGACAGGATCATGAAGCAGAGCCAATGAGAATTGAACATGCCCTGTAATCCCATTATCTAATCAGGTACTCTCCACACACACCCCACCCCCTTCCAGGTAAGTACTTGACAAGGTAAAACATCCAAGGTTCAGATCAGTGTTACCTTCATGTACCGCGATCTCTGTGTCCTTAAGCTATCAACGAGGCCTCGCACTTTCTTGGACATCGGATTATCCAGAACTGGCAGAATACTCTGGTGGAACACAAAATTCATTTACCCTTATGGTAAGGGACTCTTGAGTCCAGTCAAAATGGGGCAGCACAGATTTATGCATCACCTGAAAAAAGGAAGCCTGGGAAGAATGACAGCACTCTCCTTGCCCTCCCAAGTGGCCCCTGCTATTTAAAAGGACTAGCACACTAATTTTATTGGTTTGCACCACAAAGTACATTTCCACACCCATATTCTTCTTGATGCCCTGCCCTCACCAAGCCACTGGTGATCTGACTGAAGGAGGAGACGCCGAAGAGACTCTGAACAACACCCTGTTGGACACTTGCTCCCACCCAGATGAAAAGATTGAGCCCATTCTCCAGCAAATATATATCTCCGCTGCTTAGACGCTCTTCAGATGCTCGAACTGCTGGTGGTTCAGTGGTACTCTCAATAGGAGACTTTGTCTAGATGAAAGGGGGAAAATGTTACTGAGGACCGTAAGACAAGTTTACCACCTCCCACACACAAAAATTTCAGAAAGCTAAGTCCCTCAGTAATTCTCTCTGTGAAAATTACATCAGATAATATAAGTAAAAATAAATTCATTAATGGCAGACACAGATAATACTAATCTTTCTTGTCCTCCTATGATGCCCATCTCAATGCAATGTCTCATACTCCTGCCCTCAGTCGCACCAGTGGTAGGAGCCGAGGATAGAAGAAGACATTGGTCTCAGCCACATCCATGGAGGTAACCAGCTGTCGGACATAGGCACGGTCATCCGTAGTGACTTCAGCTCCAGGCTGCAGGACATCACTCTTCAACACACAGTTCAGGTAAACTGGGAGCAACTTCATGCACTCAGGAAGGATCAACTGAGGGAGGTTATCAAGACAAAGTCAATAATCGTAAGAAATCCTTCCCAAATGCAAACAATTCCTCCACCAACATTCTTGCCCTACCTGTCCTGCAGAGGAGGGGCTGGCACAGTTCTTTCTGTAACAGGCCAGGATCTGTGCACACTGTGTGATAAGAGTGTCGCGGACAGTCTTCACAGGGCTATTCAGAACCCCCCGGTACGCTAGATAAGAAACAGAAATAGCACAGTCACTGGTCAGCCACTCTATCACATGTACCTTCCCACAACACCTAGCTGGGAATGCTGAATCCTTGACTATCACCTTTTTCAGCCCAAATCCCACCGTGCCCTGCCTCTCTCCTCACCAAACTTAGCCATGTAGTTGATGAGCGTGTCGGTCTCACAGTTTCGATACAGATCAGCTAGCTGGGTACAGCAGTTCAGGGCCAGGTTGTGTATGCGTAGTCGTCGCTGCCCTGCACAGCTGGTGTAGAGCAAGGCACACTAGGGGAAGAGAGAAAGGGGGAGCTCACACCCCTTCCTCACCAAAGCCCTCTGAAAAACTGCTCCTTTGCTATATTTAACTACAGAAAAGACATGAGCCATCCCTTCCCCATCTTCTTCTACTCCTCTCTACCCACCCCTCACCCTGTTTCCTGCAGCCTATTTATATCCAGTGAAATTCCTCCCCAGTCCCTGTCTCCCGCCCGCCACCTGCAGGAGGGCTCCACTCTCTTCATTAAGTCGATCATCATGCTTGAATTCCACAGTCACCGTCTTGTCCCCATCCAGCCCAGCCAGCTCCACATCTGTTGTATTGCTCATGTAGAAAGCTCCAAAAAAATCTACAGCACGGATACCTGAGGCCACATGGATAGGATCAGGGCTAAAGGTATGAAGGGCGCCACTTGCCTCCCTCCCAGATTATGCCCCCCACCTGCTCTTCTCCAACCAGGACTGACCGGTGCTCGTCCGGACCCGCATCACAGCATCAAAGCCAACAACCTTCTGTACATCCCGACGCAGGTCACTCATAAACCGTTCCTGGTCATTCTCCACCTGTAGCCCACCATGCCCAAAGTCACACCACATAACATCCTGCAGACAATCTCCCTGCACCTCCTCCACTCTATAAGCTAAATTGTAGTAACAACAATAGTGAAGATGATGATAATGGTGTTGATGATGATGATGATAGCTTTTAAGCACATTATGTGCCAGATCCCACATCAAATGCTTTACATATGACTTGATTATGATGACAAATCCTAATTAATAAGTATTAAAACCCCATTTTATAGATGAACAAAGAAACAATAATTAATGTCCTGAAGGTTATACAGCTAGTAAGCGGTAGGGCCGGAATATCAACCCAGGACCAATTCTAAGCCCCACACTCCCAATCACTACTCATGGCTCTCTTCTTCACATTCTCCAGTCTTCTCCTCTAACACTATCCTACTGAGTCCGTAGCTAAACAGCAACTCCACATGTAGACAGACATCCCCTGTCCTGCTTCCACAGGCCACCCAGAGTCCCATGCCATACCTGAAAGCAACCATATTTGTAGACAGAGCCACCAGTGAGCTGGGGCACAACAGAGAGCGTGGCCACATCCACGTACTGGTTAGGGAAAAGGAAGAGGTCTACACAGCAACCTTGGGCCACACACTCTTTGGCCAGGTTCTGATAAGCACCTGTCTGAGGCTGGAACAGAGTCTGGGGCAGAACAGAAGAAAATGTTTAAATATCTGTTACACCCTATCTGAGAACCGTATATGTAATACGAGATACTCAAATATACGTAAACTTCTGATCTACTCACAGGAGTTTGTAGTAGTAGAACATTCTTTTTTTTATTTTTTAAAAATATTTTATTTATTTTTTTTAGAGAGAGGGGAAGGGAAGGAGAGAGAGAGGGAGAGAAACATCAGTGTGTGGTTGCCTCTCACATGGTCCCCACTGGGGACCTGGCCCGTAACCCAGGCATGTGCTCTGACTGGGAATTGAACCAGCAACCCTTTGGTTCAGTGACCCACGCTCAATCCACTGAGCCACACCAGCCAGGGCACATTCTTTTTTTTTAAAAAGGGACCTACCCAGGGCTTTGGAATGAGATGGGATAGAAAGGTGGGGAGCAGTGGAGAAGGTTGGCAGTCACAAATGTGACATGAGAAAGGGCAGAATATCTCATTCCCCCTCGAGAAAATTAATAATACTGTATTGTACTGTGAAGAGAGTCACCACCCTCTACAAGGGAGAATCCTCCCCCTATCTCCCAGTCCCATACCTTCTCCTTGTCTGTGTTAATCAACTTCCTGTCATCTCTGTTCTTCAGTTTCCCTGGGGCCTCTGCGATGGGCAGGGAGGTGTGGAACAGAAACAGCTTCCCTGCACACTCGGCAGCCTAGGAAAGAAGAGAGGACTACTTATTTATTCTTTCCTTTATTCATCTATTATTCATTCATCCTCTCCCTCATCATTTACTCAGTGCCAGCTATGTCACACAGGCTAACTCACCGGACAGTAATAAAAAACTGATAAAACGGGTTGTATCCCAAGGGGTGCAAGGTCAGAGGAAAGTGAGGCAGAGGAGGTTGCTGGGTACTCTAGCCTTACCTTCAGGGCCTCCATCCCAGCCTGGATAACTGGGGCAAATACTGTCTCTGTCTCTCTTGTGTCTGCAAACATTTCTGGAATCTGATCCAATAAGCTGAAGAGAGAGGTGATGGGAGGCAATTGAAACTGTTTTCCAGATTCCAGAGTCCTAAATTATTTGAAAAGTCCTCTGGCCACGAAACTCTGAAAACTCCTGAGGCAAAGCTCCTGCTCTTCTGCTGACCCCTCTGCTCAATTCTGTGGCTTTCTTTGATTGTACCCACCCCACCTCCGCTCTACCACTGCAATCTGGCTCTTACCTCGTGATAACTGCCCGAGAGTCATTGACGTTGACCAGGAAGCCGTCCAGCAGTGGCACAAACATGTCAGCCACATCAGACACAACCATCATCTGTGGCTGGGCCAGTGAGCTCTTCACATTGTAGAAGTGGAGCACCTTATTATAGGTGACAAAGCCAACTCGGATTGCTGACTCTTCTGCTCCACCCTCCCTGTAGAAGGTGACATTGTTACCTAAACCTGTCACCTTCCCCACCACCCAGCCTCATGACATCAGGCTGCATCTGCTGTCAACCCAGACACCACCTCACACCCCACATCATTATGCAAAGAAAGCACGTCAGCTCCCTAACTCTCACCTGGGTAGAAAGTCTAACAGTGACTTGAGCTCCTCACAGAGGAGCCTAACGAGACCACTCCTGATGGCATTGTAGGAGACATCAATCATGAAGATGAAGGCAGGAGGGCTGGGGAATTTATTGTTCTACAAAGGAAATAAATGGGGAGAGAGGGGTATTGCTAAGCAGATGGATCAGTTGATTAGAGAGGAGTCAACATCAAAGGGGACAAAGAAGGCATGAGGGAAATGATCACAGCAATTCTTAGCTGTCTCATTATCCTCTGCCCACTGCTTCTCCCCATGCTACCTTCCCTCACCTTGCAGTAATCTACAGTGGCCAAGAATTCATAAGAGCCCAGGGATAGCTCAGGACGGTCGTAAGCATCCACACGTTTTCCGGTATGATCCAGATGTTGAAAATACTGGGGGGGAACTGTGGGGAGTATGGCAGAGTGTTAATCAAAGGTCCGCTCTTAATATTAGCATATCTGGCCCTGGCTGAGCTCACTCTACTGCCCATATCCCCATATGTGACCCACTTCCTCAGTTCCTATATAATGGACCCTCCATCTATCTAACTAGAAAGAAAATGCTGGAGATGAAATCCAGATCTTCCCCTCAGTCCCAGCCACTGAGAACATACCATCATTGATACAGCTGCAAAAGCAGCACTGGAATCGCCTCCCTCCCTCAATGAACTGCATGAAAGGGCACATGTATGCTTTGCAGCGATTGCAGCGCAAAGGGCCAGATTCCCCATGGTCGACAACATACGGTGAAGCCTAAGGAGCAAAGGGGAAAGGCTCAGACACACACGGAAGCTACAGTGGTATGAGACATGTGGCAACACACGAGAAGGAACGACCTGGAGGGAGAAGCCATGGCTCAAATATTTTGCCTGGGGAGGGAGTCCAGTGATGGGGAATGAAGACAAATGATGAGGGTACTGGTCACAGAAATATCCCTAAGAGTCTAAATTCCATGGTTGTCTCTCCTTACTCTCCATCTCCAGAATTTCACTTCTTCTGGAAAGAGAAAATGGACTGTGAAATTGGCCCTACCAAGCCAGGCACTGCCACAGACATATGAGGAGAAAGCCAAAAATTACCTAGGATTCTCGTTCTGGCCCTATCTTCAATTACCCTCACTCTTGCCCCAGAGTTCCTGTTTTCTTCTCCAACCAAATATCTATGATGCTTGTGCTTCCCATCCCTGGGTTTATGTGGCACTCACTGATGCCCCAGGCAGATGTCACCCTACAGATAAGAGACCAGGAGCCAAATGTCTAGGCATCTCCATTGAGACCCAGAAAGAGAAAAAGAGAAGACAGAGACAGGATATAAAGTGAGCCTTGGGTCTTGACCTTCTGGTTATAGAGAAATCTACCTTGAATTTAATAAGCTAGGCATGAACATGAGGGTATTCTACCAAGGCCTGGCAGAGCAGATGACAAGTTTTTTCTCTTTTTATGCTGATATCAAGTACTAGGGTGACAGATTAAGGCCCAAGCCAGGTAAGAGAAGGACTACTGGATCCTAATCTACCTTTTTACCTTATATGCTATCCTAACATTACTAACCTACCTGGTATGATAGGATGTCATATAAGAAAAAAATACAATAGAATAATTTTGTTTTTAGAATGGTATTCTTCTCATCATCTGGAAATGACCGTCCTATCAGAGGCTCCTGTACCCAGCTGTCTCCCCAATCCAGCTGTCTCTTCCCCTATAAGTTGGCCCTGACTCTTTTCATGTTGTTTGTTTTCCCTATAGATCCTGATCCCATTCAGCAATGTCTTGGCTTTTTGCTCTTATCCTTATCACCATCTTCAGGCATGAGCCCTAGAATAGAAAACAATTGAAGACACTCTCCCTCCTGCCTAACCAAGACTTCTGCCATTGTGACTTTGGAATCATATCTAGGAAGAAGTCCCTCCTTTCTCCCCTTTCATTATACCCTGACTTACCTCTACTGCGGGCAGCCTTGCCAGTGGCTTGATGACAGCTGCCAGGGGAACCTGAGCCTGCTTAGCCATGTCAGATGTACAAGGGATATTATAAGATGTGCATCGAATGTATCGAGGACTTGCATTCCCTGAAGGAGGAAGTAGAAAACCTGAGTCAGATCACAGAATCCCTCCAGTTAACCAGCTCTCCATTGCTGATCCACCCTATCACACCAACAAATGCTAGAGCTGATGGTGGCTTTTCTCCTCCTAGAGACCAATGAACGGCTAATCTTTGATTAAAGACTGATACAAGTCCCATCTATAAGCTGATATCTTGGAGTAAAAGTCCCCACAGGGAGGAGTTAATGCCCTTCTCACCTTGGTCTTTCACTAGGAAGTTGGTGGTAACTAAGGGTGGCACCTGGCCCCGTACTCCAGTAACGAACGGCTCTGAACCACGGTTGTTCCGGTCATCCTCGATCACCTGAATCTGTAGGGAAAGTGAAATGAGTGAGGTGGCAGAAAGGAGTACCAGGTCCCAGAGAACCAGGAGAAAGACAGGCTGAAACTGCAGCACAGAAACTAACAATTTGCCAAGGAACACCTCATATACGAGGCCTGCTCTCCTTCTGGAGATCATAAAATGCTACAATGCCAATCTTCTGCCCTACAATTAGCAGCAAAATGCTGAACAGGCAACTCCAAGTATGGGCTTCTTTATGAATTGCCCAAACCCTCAATCGATAATAATCACCCTTTTATTCCCCTAACTCCAGGACAGCTCCAGTTCTTATCAGAAACCTTCAAACATGATCAGATTTCACTTCCCTCCCCCATCTTGCCTACATCATTTCTTCCCCCCAAAGACATAGTCTGAGTCAAAGTAGGAAAACAGACAACAGTAACCATGTAAAAATGAATCTACCTGGAATGACTCTACTTTAATGAAAGTAGAAGGGACAGGGTGAGGAGAGGATTAAACAGCCAGAAATGATCGGGTAAGGTGGTGAAGTAGATGCTGCCTTATGCTGAGGTAAGCATCAGTGTTTAAATATGGGAGAAGAGGTTAAGAACCCATACCTTATAGCCCAATCCTCAGTCTCCCATATTTTGACAACCGAGAAAAAGAAAAAAAAAAAAAGATTTTTTGCAAAGCTGGTAATCAGATCTTTGTGCAGGCTGATGACCCTTGGCCAGTTACTTCAAGATGAGTTTGGTAAAACCAGAAAAGTAAAAGGAGAATAAGACTCCGTATCCCATAGCAGAAGGAGTCGAAGCTTAGAAATATATCAGAGTCAAAAAGACTCCAGTTGAGAATGTGGCCCACATTTTCCCAAACCAGTAGTTCCTTCCTCTGTAAGAAAGCCTGTATCTCAAACTTGTACATTCATAGCCACCTACCCAAATGTTTGTCAATAATCTGTAGAAAATTCAAACCCAAAGGGGAAGGATTTACTGCTCATCTCTGTCCTGTTCCATCAAATGCCACATGTAGGCTCCTGGAGGAGCCAGAAGGCCTCACACCAAAGCTTAACATGCCACCTGACCCCACCCTTAGAGCCTGACCTTCTACCACCCCATTCTTAAGGCATTGGTAACAGCTTGCTACTTCTTCATTATGTGGTGACTTAAAGCATGCACATCCTTCTAGTTTATACAAGTGAGGTCTAGAAGGACTGAGGGAAAGGATGGAGAGGGATGGATATGGTGGATGAGGTGAAGATGAGGTCACACGCATGCATGGATGGCACTAACACGGGGATGACACACACACACACACCCCTACCCCCTGCACTTACTGGACTAGGAATGGCATCAGGGTCTATTCTGTGCCTGGTTTTCTGCTGAGGAGGCAGCTCATTGAGTTGCTTTTAGTGTTTTAATAATAAAGGCAGCAGGGGAATATAGGGAGGGAGACAAAAGAACAAGAAGCAGATGTTACTTCTCTCAACCCTGATGAGTTAGACATGAACAGCTGGAGCCCAGCTCATAGCGCTGATATCAGGTTCTGTCTACAGCAGAAATTTCAAGTCTTTCTGGCCCAACACAGAGGCTTTAATGGCTTAGACTATGATGTAGAAAAATAAGGAGAAGGGCATATAGGAGGCAAGCAGGGGTTATACAGAGAGGGGCTGAATGGGAGAATTCTTAAGGAAGAAGAGGAATATTTCCTCCAAAAGGCCAAACCTCCCACCTAAGGACTAATCTTATGCTGAAAGGAACCTCCCCTCACAGGCACCGGAATCTCCTTCTCACTGAAAGAGGGGAAAGGAAGGAGGGGCTGCTTAATACTTTCAGGTCCCCCTTAGCCAGCAAGGTCCCTCACCCTCGTAGTTCCCCAAAGGAAGAGGGAAAAGAATGGAATATGACAATGGCTAAGCATGGTAAGGTAACCGACATAGCACATGTTGCAGACAGCGCTATAAAGGGGCCCCACGTCAGAGTTCGGTCCCAACTTCTATCCTGCATATGATAAGGAAAGCCTGAGAATTCTGATGGCTCTAAGAGTGAAATTCACCCTCTTCCTGGGAGAAGCAGCTTCTCCACACTGACCTTATAAACTGTAGATCACTCTTCCCCATCCACACAGGAAGGAGCCTAGCAAACAGAAGTACTAAAGATTTTTCCCTAAAACTATCCAAGTAGGCACAGAAAGAAACCAGTGAAGCCTTCCTTCTCTTAACATCTAATACCAGAAAATTCCCACCAGCTCTACCCATTAAGGCTGCTGTCCTACTAGATCTAAGAGGACAAGACCTGGACTCGGCCACTATGCCACAGAAGGGTAGAGATTACCATGCTATGTCCAATAGTTAAGATAGCATAACACTCAACCCAGAGCTCTACTGACACTACTGATCACTCCTGGCTTCCCTTCCTTTCCTGCCCAGCTATGGAGTAAAAGTGCCCCTAAAGGTGTCTGGGGCCTCAAGCAACAGTTCAAAGGGTCAAAAATTACATCTAGCTTCTATACCTAGAAGAAGATGAATAAAGAGGGAAAATAATCAGAAAATGTTGGCAAACATCTCATCTAGGCTGATTCACTTATCTGGCAGCCACAAATTCCTTCCCCAGGACCACATAACTAATCTACTTACGGGGCTCGGGATGGCATCAGGATCCAGGCGCTTAGGAGGCAGTGGCTGAGGAGGCCCAGGCTGACTGCCAAAAGTGGGTGCTGCTGGGTAGGGACTTCCATAATTGGGCTGAGGGCCCCGGACTGGTCCAAAGGAACCTGAGCGACAAGGACACAAGGCTAATGAACTCAAAATTCCCTCTTCTTAAGGCCTCAGGGAAATTAGACTCCTATAAATGTAGAATTATGAGGCAGAGTAATAACCATTCAGAGAAAGACCACACTATCCGAACAATGAGAATAATGAATAAACCCTACATCCTACTAATAATACCCCGAAGCTGATCATCTAGTTTACCACTTAGCAAGCAATACCAAAAACAAAAAAACTCCCACTAAATAGCTGAAGCTTTTGGCTTCTAGACAGACCCTGGGAAAAACTCACCATTTTGTTGCAGTTGGTAGCCTGGCTGCTGGGAGGAGTGCATAGGTGGCGGCTGTCCTGGGAGCCCAGCCATCTGGGTACCAGGGTGTAGAACTTGAGGAGGAGGAGGTGAGGACACATGGTTGGGCTGGCTCACTGGGGGTCCCACAAAACTCTGTTCAGGCAGTATTTGACCAGTCATTGAAGGTATCCGAGGACCCCCTGAGGCTGAGGGTGTGAAGCTGGAGGCCTGCTGTGGGGCAGATCGCTGGGGAGGCTGGGACCCAGAAGGACCCTGTGCCTGGCTAAGGGGAGGAGCCTGGCCTTGAGGATAGGAGCCATACAGACCAGAGTTAGGGAAACTTCCTGAGGCTGAGGCCAGTGATGTTGGTGGGCCTGAGAAGTAGAAGAGGTAGAATCAGAATCCTTTCATTACTGAATTTATTCTCAGTAAATCACTTCCCTTTCCACATAAGAAGAACAGGAATGCCTACCCTGTCTGCTAGGGTTCAGAGGCATAAGAAATAAAAGGGATTAACGTATAGCCCCACAGCCTAATGCGTCTAAAAAAGGGAGGAACAGTAACATTCTTGTGGTCACAGCTACTCACCATAGCCCAACCCAGAAGGGGGAGGGGCTGGGGCCACAGCACCGCCGATCTGCATTCCAGCCATCTGGGCAGTCACCTGTGCACTTGTTGGGAGAGGACCATAGGGCGGAAGCACATTTGGCTGGCTGACCACAGGGGCCAATGGGGCTGACCCAAATGGCTGAGACCCAGGGAGCCTGTGAAGAGAAGGCAGGCAGTAAGGACTAGTGGGGCAGGACACCTTTCAAAGCTGGCAGGAAATCCACAGCATACAGGAAGCTATATTGTTTTACAGTATCTTAATCTCATCCTGGGCTCATTTATGACTTCATACTTTTGTATATATGCAGATAAATTATATTCCTGCTGATCCACACTGTGATTACTCGTGACAAATCTTATTTGCCATCAGGTTCATTCCACAAACATATGTCAAGCACCCTCAGATCAAATTATTATTTACTCTACTACTTAGATTATCACCTCCTCTGCCTCAATCCTTTGCCGACCAATCACCTGAGTTTTGTAATCAGAATCCCTAAAAGAACTGAAACAGAAAGTGCACAGAAATATTAACTCAAAAGGTACTTAACAAATGTGGGATCGAACAAATAAAGTTTGACTGTCTAACTTTTAAGCCAAAGTATTTATTACTTTATCCTGGGAAAGGTGTTAGAAAGTTCTATAAGATCAGTGGAGCAGGACAGCTGAGTTTGGAATCTGTGCTAATCATAAAGATGTGTAAACTCCACCAGAAACAGGCTACCAAACTATGACATAAACCAGGTAGCCTTCTAGCTGGGTCTATCAAGCAAAGTCTGATTACTTGGATAGCTATGTTGGGCAGTCCCATAGTATCAGATGGCACATTAAAATATAAATACAAAATCATTCCAATATCATTGCTTACCAAAGAGCAACTCGTACTGGTGTTTTAATGTTATTACTATAGAAATCTATAACATAGAGCACAGGTGGCAAACACCAGGCCCGCAAGCCAAATCTGGCCCTCACCTTACTTTATCCAGCCCGGCGCCTTGTTTCTACCCCAGTGGCAGGGCCGAGCTCCTTTCCACTAGTTAAGGAGTAGTTACATTTATACAGTCTTAAGATTATATTCAGCCCTTTGAAGGCAACGGCAAGGCTGATGTGGCCCCTGATGAATATGAGTTTGACAGCCCTGCCGTAGATTATTATACACAATAAACTCCTTTGGGATTTCAATAATGAATCAAATTCTTTTTTTTTTTTTTATATTTTACCAAGCTTTATTAATTGTATCAGGAAAAGTTAGAAAACAATTGTATTTGTTTTTTTCATGCACAGTATTCTCAATATGCACACAATACTAGTGCCTTACTTTTTTCCTGATTAACATTTTAAGCACTCCATTCCTTTTACATCCCTGAGCACACAATGAATGCAGAATTGTGTTATCTTTACAAACATCCTCAGAATTCTTGTCCAAAATATTTTCCAGAAGACAATTTTATCAAACATGTTATTAGAAACTGCCTAGGAAACCAGCTCTAATATCACAACCACCGTTTAAAACGTTATCTAAAATAACATATTTGTTTATAAATGTAGGCCTCTGTGCTTGAGTATTATATTCCAAGAACGTTTTAAGTAAACAAAATAAAATACAATGAAACCATCACATGTTGAACTTCATTCTCTTCATCTCCTAACAACAATGAACAGTTCATATACATTCATTATGCAGTTTTATATTTACATTTTAATACCATCACCCACACACAAGCTTTGTGTCCAATGAAGTAATTAGTGGAATTAGATTTTGGGCTGTGTTAAAAATGCTTGGGGAGTTAAAAAAAACTGTATCACACATGCATAGGAAAAGTCCCAAATGCATGGCTTTTCATGGTAAACCTTATGAAGCTGAGTTGATACTCCATGACCAAAAAAAAAAAAAATCCTTTTTATCGAATCAAATTCTTCATAACAGTTTATTACAGTGAAATTCTGATTTATCCTTCTTGTTTATTTTGTCTTTTACTGAATAGCTAATACTTTATTATATTATAGTTGGTCAGCTTCTATTAGTCCAGTAGTGTAACACTTTTTTTTCATTCAACTAGTATTTTCTTTTTTTTTTAATTTATTTTTTTTATTGATTATGCCATTAGTTGTTCTATTCCCTTCATTCCCCTCCACCCTACCCCCCGTCCCCACCATTACCCCCCCTTTAGTTTATGACCATGTGTCTCAAGTTCTTTAGATTCTATATTTCCCATACTATTCTTGCCCCCCATCTATTTTCTATCTACTGTCTATGCTTATTTTCTGTAGCTTCTTCCCCCTTCTCCTCCTCCCACTCCCTCGTTGCTAACCCTCCTTGAGATCTTCATTTCTATTCAACTAGTATTTTCTAATTTATGCCAGTGAACCTTACCTCCCTAAGCTCTTTGCTGGGCTTTGCAGTTTGTTTGTTTTTTTAAGATTTTATTTATTTATTTTTAGAGAGAGGGGAAGGGAGGGAGAAAGAGAGGGAGAAACATTGACGTGAGAGAGAAACATCAATTGGTTGCCACTGATACCTCCTCTGAATGGGAACTGAACCTGCAACCCAGGCATGTGCTCTGACCAGGAAATGAACCAGAGACCTTTCACTCTACAGGATGACACCCAACCAACGGAGACACTCCAGTCAGTGCTGGTTTAGCAGTGTTTATCTTCCATAGCACCAAACTATTAGCCCCACAGCAGATACTCATAAATCCTTGTCAGAATTATTATATTCCATAGTCCTATCCATTAATATGGATATTATCAACTACCTAATGTTATCCTGTCATGTGCCCTAGTTAGAACAAACCACCATCTCTGTATATACCTGTATATAGCTTCACAACTTATAAAGCATCTCTAAGTGCTTTAATGTAATCCTCAGAGCAAAATAATGAGGGAGACAGAGTAGAAAAAAAAAACAAAGACGTTAGTGGCAGACCAAGCTAAAACTAGAGCCCAGACCTGATTCTTAGTCCAAAGTACTTTATTTTTTAATTGTGAAATGACATATAGAAAAAAATACATTAAGCACATATATACTGTTGAATAATTATAATTCGAACACCCATGAATTCAAAACCACGTCAAGAAATAGTATATAGTAGGGCCCTGTGCGCCCCTCTTCCACTACAGCCCTCTCCCTCGACACAGTAGCAACTACTTTCCCAACTTCCTAATAATCATTCCCTTGTCTTTAAAACAGTATAGGTTTGCTATTTTTTAAACTTTTGTAAACAGAATCACATCGTACATATGCTTCCTTTTGTGTAAACACATCTATGAAATTCATCTACCCTCTACTCATCACAAAATGTTATTACACCAAGTAAACATACTATGATTTCTGTAAGCATTTTAACGCAGAGGGATGTGTGGGTTTTTCTAATTTTTGGATATTACAAACAATGCTGCTATGATAAACATCCAATAAACTTGTTTACATACATGAGTTTTTCTAAAGCATGTAGCTATGAGTGAAATAACTGGATCATAAGTTATGTATATCTTCAATCTTAACAGATAATTCCAAATTATTCTCCCCAAATAGTTATTATATTAATATAATAAATTTAAATATATTAAATTAATTAATAAATTAATATAATTAATATAATATAATTAAATTAATATAATAAATATATAATAATAATTAATATAATAAAATATAATAAATTAATATAATAATATATATAAATTTGCATCTGAACCCCAGCAGAGAAGAGTTCCTGTTACCCCATATCCTCAGCATATTCAGTATAGTTGGACTTTTTAATTTTGCCAATCTGATTGATACACAGGAGAATCCTGTTGTGGTTTTTTAATTTGTATTGTTTTGCATTACTTATGAGGTTAAACAGCTTTTTTAAAAATTTTTATTTTTCAATTACAGTTGATATACATTATATTAGTTTCAGGTATACAACATAGTGATTAGACATTTATATACCTTATGAAGTGATTACCCAGATGAGCCTAGAACCCATTTGACACCATACATAGTTATTACAATAGTACTAACTATATTCCCTATATTGTATTTTATATCCATGACTATTTTTATAACTGGCAATTAATACAGAATTCTTAATCCTTCTCATCTTTTTTATCCCAACCCCCAACCTCCCATCTGGCAATCATCAATGAATGGCTTTTTAATATGTTCTCTGGCTATCGGTATCTCTTCTTTGTAAAAACCTGTCCTGGTTTTTGTCCATTATTTTTCCAACTGGATTGACTTTTTCTTATTGGTTAAAAAGTAGGAGCTCTTTACATAGTCTGGATACTATTTTACGTGTTTATGTCTACTTTATGTGTAAATATCTTTTTCTATTCTGGAACTTGTCTTTCCAGTGTACTTTTTTTTCTTTTAAATTTTATTTATTGATTTTAGAGAGAAACAAGAAGGGAGAGAAAAAAACATCAATTTGTAATTTCACTTATTTATGTCTTCACTGGTTGATTCTTATACGTGTCCTGACCAGGAATCAAACCCACAACCTTGGTGTATCTGGATGACACTCTAATCAACTGAGTTATCCAGCCAGGGCCCCAATGTACTGTCTTTCCTTTTTTTTCCTTAAATATTTTATTTTTTTAATTTTTAGGCAGAGGGGAAGGGAGCAAGAAAGGGAAAGACACATCTATGTGTGGTTGCCTCTCACGTGCCCCTCACTGGGGACCTGGCCTGAAACCCAGGCATGTGCCCTGACTGGGAATGGAACTGGCAACCTTTTGATTCACTGGCTGGCACTCAATCCACTGAGCCACACCAGCCAGGGCCCCAACATACTTTCTGTTCAATCAAACATACAAACATCTCAAAAAATAACCAACTATAATGGAAAAAAACCAAAAGTCCAGCAGGGGATAACTAGATAAAAAAGTACTGATACAGCTCTGGCTGGTGTAGCTCAGTGGATTGAGCGCAGGCCTGCGAACCAAAGGACCATGATTCAATTCCCAGTCAGGGTACATGCCTGGGTTGCAGGCCAGTTCCCGGCAGGGGATGCATGTGATGTTTCTCTCCCTCTCTCCTTCCCTTCCCCTCTAAAGATAAGTAAATAAAATCTTTAAAAAAAAAGTATTGACACATGCTGCAATACAAACATTGGAAAGTTATGCCAAGTGAAGGAAGTTAGTTATAAAATATCACATAGTATATGATTTCACTCACATGAAAGTCCAGAATAGGGAAATCTATAGCCACAGAAAATAACTAGTGGTTGCTAAGAGTTGTGGGTATAAGGGATTGAAGGAATAGGTACACAGGTGCAGCTCCTTAGCTAAAGGATATGGTGTTTCTTCTTGAGGTGATAAAATGTTCTAAAATTGTCTGTGATGATGGTTGCACATAACTGTGAATACAATAAAAACCATTGAATTGTACACTTTAAATTCACATGGTATGTACAGTGTATCTCACTGGTTTTTTTTAATCCAAATAAAACTGCCTGAAAACTTCATACCCCACTCAAGCTCTTGCTCCTCTTTTTAGCCAAATATTGTAAAAGAACTGATCTATGCTCTGTCTCTGTCTTTTAAAGCTCGTACTTTCTGGGTTCATGTTCTTCTCCTTTCTTTTTCTTAGTCGTTTTCTCAACCAGAGTCTATACATAATAAACTCTCAGTCTGTGTCTGAAAATGTCTGTATTTGCCCTCTCTCTTAGCTAGGGACATATTTCTAGGTTGACCATTATATTCCCTTAATGCTTTCAAGGTGCTATTCTACTATCTGCACTCCTCTAATAGTCTCTATTTACTCTACTCAATATTGTTTTCCCTGAGAATCTCTTCAGACTAGGCTGAGGGAGTATGGTTGTTTTGCATTTGCTTCTGGACGATGCTGCCACCCAAGATCAAATTAAAAAGCTTTGAGATAGTAAGTTTCATGCCATCAAATTCATTCCTCTTAGGTGTATAATTCACAATTTTTAATAAATTTACAGAGCTGTGCAACCATCACCAGAATCCACCTTTAGAACATTTTTGTCGCTCCAAACAGCTCCCTCATGTTCATTTGCAGTCCTAAAGCCTTTTTTCTTCCTACTTATCCACAGCCAGCCCAGGAGAAACAGGATTCTCTCTCTGCCAGAGTGCAGATTTTTTCCCCTAGTCGATCTGTTATGAAAGGTGCAGCCTAAGTCCAGACTTCATAAACAAGGTCTTCACTACAAATCTCAGCTTTGAAAAGCCTAAAGATTCACCCTCCATCCCCAGTACCTGCTTAAACCCACTCTAGTACCTGCTTAAGCCCCAGATTCTCAAGATGATAATTCCCATCCTCTCCACAGGCAGCCACAGTGTCAGCGTACCACTCTTATTTTTCAGTTCCCACTTGGTGTCTCTAGCACTTGAGAATTTCACTTTCTTTTAAGCTTGATTATGCACTTGAAAAAATTTTTTGCCTCTATTTCCTTTCTCCTTTCTAGATGTTTGTAGCAAATAGCTTTTCAGGTTATAGTAATCTACTATCCAACTGAAACTCTGTGACCCACTGCAATGAAACAGTTGTCCTTATATCTTCGCTGAAACTACGTTTATCAATGATGCTGAACTTTGCCAAACCCAAGGTCAATCCTCAGTCCACATCCTACCTTTCAGCAGCAAACCACACAGCTAATTACTCCTGCCTCCCTGAAATTCTTTCTTCATCTAGTTTCAGGATGCAACACCCTCCTACCTAATCTCCTACCTCACTACAATTCCTTCTCATTGTTTTTCGAGGGCTCCTCCTCTAACTTCTTTTGAAATGTTGGTAAACTCCAAGGAATATATACTGCATAAATAAACAAATAATAGGAACATTACTCCCCAGCTTAATATTCTCCAGAGGCATCTCGCAGCAACTAAAATCAAATTTAAACTTCTTAATAAGGCTTACAAAACGCTGTGTAATGTGTCTCCTGCCTATGTTTCTTCCTCATCTCCTCTACTCTCCCTTGGGCTAGCCACACTGGCCTCCTTGCTCTTCCTTACATCCACCAAATTAATTTCTCCATCAGGACCTTTGCACTCGTTGTGCCCTCTATCTACAACACTTCCCTTAGACCTTTGGAGAGCTCCCTTCATCATTTCACTGAGGTTTCAAATACCACTTCAGAGAGGCTTTCCTTGACCGATGTATTTAAAACAGCTCCCTACCTTCTCACAGTCATGCTCTATATCCTGTTTTCTTTCTTATTTATGTCGTCTACTTGTTATCTTTTGAGTATTTCACTAGATTGTAAGCTTCATGAGTGCAGAGACTTGGTCTGTTTTGTTTACTGCTCTCTCTCCAACCTCTAGAATAATGTCTGATACATAATAATACAAAAAGTATTTTTTGAGTGGATGAATGAATTCTCTATACTGCTTATAGAATATTCAAACACCCAGGGTTAGGAGAGCTTCTCAGGATCTTTCTCTAGGTTTGTATTCAATGCTAAAAATGTACATTCTGGACACCCAATAAAAATGTCAGTAAGTGACTCTTCCATTACCACACACCCTACCCAGTTATACAGACTATGCACCACCAAAGTTTTCATCATTTATATGTAGGGTTTTTTTCAATGATCCTCATAATATATTGGCCTTGATGAGCAATGTAAGCTTTCACAGAATGACATATATGGTTTTCCTTTAAGATCTTTTCTTTCATAATTGGTCACACCTGAACTTAACCAGTAAGTCCCACTAAGTGCCTGATCTAGAGGGAAGAGGAAAGTCAGAGGAGACAAATATCCTAAGGTCCCTTTTCCCTGTTTCTCCCTTAGGTAGGCTCAGTATGATAGAAATATTATAATTATTGAAGATATATGTCTAGGCAGGAAAAAAACCTCAAGTTCAAAGAAAGACAAAGAATATGCACAAGAACCCAGGTACTAAGAGAGGTCAGTAATCCACAGAGTGGACAGCAGCAGCATCTGTAACCTGAAAAAATAAAAACAAAATACAAAAAGGTGCAAGAAAGGGTCGGGGTGGGAAAAAAAAAAAGGTGCAAGAAAGAGAAAAGTGGGTCTTCAAAAAAGGCAAAAAGAAGGGATACAGAAAAAAAAGAAAAAACCACCTCATAAACATAGACAACATGGTGATTACCAGAGGGAAAGGGCATGGGAGAAGGTAAACACAGTAAAGGGACAATAAATGGTGATGAAAGGAGACTTGATTTGGGGTGGTGAACACACAATACAATATACAGATACAGTACTATAGAATTGTACACCTGAAGCTTATATAATTTTATTAACCAATGTCACCCCAATAAATTCAATGAAAAAAGAAAATATGGAAGGGTTTGAAGGAACTAGTATAAAGGACACATGGACAATAACAAGGGGGGAGGGAGGTGGGGAGGGCTGTGGGGGTGGGCTGGGATGGGATAAAGGGCAGAAAACTACTTGAACAACAATTTTTAAAAGTATTTAAAAAAAGAGAAAATATGTTAAATTCACAGAAATAAATAAATAAGGTAAGCAAATAAATAAAAGACAAACAAAACAAAACAAAAAAAAAAAGGAAAAGGGAAACAGGCTCTCAAACATTCCTAATCTTTCCAGTTTCATCGGACCAATTTTAGGGTGACCCAAGCACATACCTCTGCATCTGAACAGTGGAGCTAGGCCCATTCTGTATATCTCCTTGGCCAAACTGGCCATATGCACCCTGGCCAGAAGGGACTTGTGCTGTGGAGATTGGAGGCACCCCCGAAGAAGGTGGGGCTCTTGACACACCTGAGGGTAAAGGACAGAAAATAAGAAATTGGGAAATAACTTTCTCCTCCACCCTGAGCAAGGAACGCAAAACAAAGATCAATAAACTCAGACCTTCGCTGACCCAATATCACACCTTTTAATGAAAAGGAGACCACCAACATGCAAACCCAGCTACAACAGATTCTGACCACTGATGCCGGATCAGAGAGCCTCCACTCTCCTTAAGAGGTGTAATACAAGTAAAGCCATAGCCAGAGCTATAAGAATGTAGGACCTTCCTGGATCACCATCACTTACTCGCTCAACACCCTAGACTAAAAGTCAATTCTTTTAAGGAAAAAGTTTGTACTCCAAAACTTAGAAACTTAGAGCATATATGAGAAAGGTGGCACAGAAGATGACCAAGTAAACACTGAACTAGGTTGTAAAGAAAGGTACCTCTTGGGGAGACTATTCTACCAACCACCTCTTCGTATATTCTACTCTTCCTAACCATCTTCTTTTCATCCACTTCCAAGTGACAAATCTCCCCATAGCACATGGCTCAGGAAAGTGTTCCCAAAGGCTGGAGACTTTGTTTCTACCCAATAGTTCAGTAAGGACAGCTGGCCTGACCTCCCATTAGTTCTGCCACTTATATCTTAACAAAAGCTAGACTCTTATCCTTTCTGCTCATCAGTGCTCCCAACAAGGCTACTTCTACTTCCCCCAATCATCCTTCTTGCATACTGTCTCCAACCATCATTTCCACATGAAATGCAGGGAGAAAGCAATTAATTACTTGGCACATCACTTTGGAAATGATGCTGACCCCTGTTCATTTGTTTTTCTTTTCCTCTGCCTTCAGCAGAGATTAGACACTAGAGAACCTGCTTATGGGAACATGATCAATCTGAACCTGCTTTCTAACCATCACTGAACCATATATGTTTTCTTTTCAATAACAAAGTTTCCTCTTGAGTCAATGCCAAACTCCATCTTGATAATCCAGAACCTCACAGATCAGAGGTGGACTATGTGCAGCCAAAGTCCCAACCCAGAGTAAGCCTCTTCCAGAAACCTGAGACCTAATCTCCCCATCTCATGGATTTTTTTCAGAGTTGAAATTAAAATAATAATACTTCACTTCCCAAATCTCACCTATGCCTCCTTGGTCCCATATCCCTTCATGGAATTTACTATTTTTTAAAAATCCTCACCTGAGGATAACCTATGTTTATTAATTAGAGAGAAAGAAGAAGACAGAGAAAGAGAGAAACATCAATTAGTTGCCTCCAATCAAATTTATAACCTAGGTACATGCCTGATGAGGAATCAAGCTCACAACCTTCTGGTGTACAGGACAACACTCCAACCAACTGAGCCACCTGGCCAGGGCTGGATTTACTATCTTAAAAAGCAGCATAAAGCCCTGGCTGGTGTGGCTCAGTGGATTGAATGCCAGCCTGAGAACCAAAAGGTCACCACTTTGCTTCCCAGTTGGGGCACATGCCTGGGTTGCAGGCCAGGACCCCAGTACAGCGCACACAAAAGGCAACCACACATTGATGTTTCTCTCCCTTTTTTTCTCCCTCCCTTCCCTTCTGTCTAAAAATAAAGAAATAAAATCTTTAAAAAATGCAGCAGAAAGCATTTGGCATAGCCTAAGTCCTCAATTAGCAAGTATTAGCTGCTCTTTTTGAAAAAGAAATATAAAAGCCAAACACTGCTTTTTTTTTAAAGGTTTTATTTATTTCTTTTTAGAGGAGAAGGGAGGGTGAGAGGGAGAGAAATATCAATGTACGGTTGCCTCTCATGCATCCCCTGCTGGGAACTGGCCTGCAACCCAGGCATGAGGCCTGACTGGGAATCGAACCACCATCCTTTGGTTCGCAGGCCTGCACTCAATCCACTGAGCTACACCAGCCAGGGCCCAAACACTGATTTTAAGGAAGCATCTGATAAAGTGCTTCCTTATTGCCCTGATATTACACTCTCTAAGAAACAGAGGGAACTCAAGCAAAGGGAAAGGAATGATATCAGCAGAAAGATATAAGAAGCAGCAAAAATCAGGCACACAAATGCCATACTTTCTATCCATGAACTAGCTCCCCACATTCAAGAGTCATTCTTCAATAGAACTGTCCATCCAATGAGAGACATTATCAATATACATGAGGAACAAGTAACTTCAGGAAGACTTGAGGTCAACAAGAAATATTCAGTCTTGGTCATAGCCCCTGGAGAACCTGTAACCACAGCCCTTGCATCCATCTGTGAACAATGCAGCCAGGTAAGGCTGCACAGGGTGACACCCACAGGAAATGAAGTGCCATTGAATATGGAAGATATGGCATCATTAGATGTCTTAAGGTAGAAACACAGTCAACTCATGTAAAAACAGAGAGGCGCAGACTGCTCACAGGGCTCTGGTTCTCAGTGACAGATAGCCATATTCATGTTCCTCAATCCCAGTCACCCCAACTCTCTAGACAGCTTTGGTAGGGAAATACAACCCAATCTAAAGACTGATTCCCCTGCTTACTTCAAAGGAAACTTGGAAACATACCTGGGGGAGGTGTTTGCTGATAGCCTGGTACTGGTCCATTGTAGGCCCCATAGGGTGTGGGAGGGGCTGTGGACCCTGGTTGCCCACCATAGCTGGACTGATGATACCCTGGGTAGACAGGCTGGGGCTGCCCAAATGGCGGCACAGGTGGAGCTGACTGGTTGACGTTCATTATGAGAGCATCCCCAATTTGGTCTCACCTATTAGATACGAGAGAAGAAAGAAATTAGTCAAAATCAACTCTCTAAAGAGAGAGCAACTATACAGGGTAGGAAGTAGATACAAAAAAAAAATAGGACTGACCTTATCAGGCAGTGATCAGCCTAATCATTCCCACTCTCCACAGGATCTTTGTAATTTTCTGCCCCAGCAGTATCCCGATTACCTCCCCAAAGTAAGGATTTTGCTACTCTGAACCCCATGTTATGTCACTGCCAAGAGGGTACAAATTTCAACTTCAGACCAGCCCACTGGAGTGGAACAGCAGCCTCCACTCCCCAGTGGTACGATTTCTAGTATCTAGACACACAAGGAGTCCTGCCACTAATGAAGTTCTGTGACATTACAGGTAAAAGAACCAATGTTTCCACTTTCCACTCATTCATTTTAGCATCCATTCATTCAAAAAACACTAAATATCCTCTAGTGCATCAGTCATTTTTAATCACTCAGGCTACATGCCTAAAATAGATCAGGTAAATTCTCTTCCCTTGAAAAGACAAATTGTAGAGTAAGTGATTAGAGAAATGACATTCTTTGGCTAAATTACAATAATCCAAATACTATTCCATCTCTAGTCTTCCACCCCAAAGAACTGTAAGTACCTTAGAACTGAAGCATTAGAATAACTAAATGTAAAGGACACCTAAAAACTCTAGCAAGGTATCAGATTAGAAGTGAGTTCAGGCCAGGCACACAAAAAAAATTCTCACAATAACCTAGGGAAACAGTTCAAGGATCAGCAGCAAAGTTAGATTTCATGGATAACAGATTGTTCACCTTAGCCCTGGCTGGTGTAGCTCAGCTGACTGAGCACGAGCCTGTGAAGCAAAGGGTCACAAGTTTGATTCCCAGTCAGGGCACATGCCTGGGTTGCAGGCCGGGTCCCCAATAGGGGACACATGAGAGGCAACCACACATTTATGTTTCTCTCCCACTCTTTCTCCTTCCCTTCCCCCGTCTCTAAAAATAAATATATTTTTTAAAAGATCGTTCACCTTATCCATCAAGCAGAGACACTATGAGTATTTCCAAATCCCTATGCACCTCTTCAACTCTTCCTGTTTCTGTTCTCCTTATAAGCCTGTTGTGAATCTAGGCTACCACCAAAATTATTCCAATTTTGCCCTGCAACAGAGGAATGAGTTTGAGGTCCTTTCCTCGATCCCTCCAAGAACAAGACTAACTGATTTCAGAGAAGGGGCCCAGGAAACAGGAGAGCTCAAAGCTGCTGCAGTGGAACAATGGGCCTCTTCCCTTTGTTAAGAAGGGTCATCTTGACTATGGAAGAGCTGAGCTGCCTTCTGGACTAGAATTCTTTAAACTCAGAGGCGCCTTGGCCGTTGTTCTTCCAAATCCTAAACCTTACACAGGTCACAACATTAAGCTTGACAGATGATCGTCTCCCCTTCCTCTTCCTAGAGTCAGTGTGGGGCTGAGGGTGAAAGGAGAGGAGCTTCTTCTCCAGAACATGATTCCCTCAAACACACCCAAGAGTTTGGAGCAGGCTCAAGTTTCCACTCCATTCTGGGTGGACAGTCGAGAGTGCAACCCAGGAGGCGGGGCAAGCTTTCTAGAACTCTGAAAGTAGTTGAGCTGTGGAGACTGGGAGCGCCGGGGATCAAGACCAAGAAGCCAAGCCAGCTTCTCGGGCCACGATGAGGGAGAGCTGATCCATTAAGCATGGAGATCGAGCATCTTGCCCTTTCAACGGGCTCGGGGCAGGAGGCGGGAGCCGGAATCTGGGCCGGGAGGAGAGAAGGGAGGTAGGGTCTACGGCTGGTCTTAGTGTTGCGTGAGGTGAGGGTCTCTCACCTAGCCCCGCCCCCGTGCTCCTCCCTTCCTTCTCAGACCGAACCCCGATCTGGCCAGTGATACCCTGGCCTCTCCTCTTCTTTCCTACCCACCAACCTCCGGATGCCACTCCTCACCCGGCTCCAGATCCAGGTTCGACTCGTTCCTAACGTCAAGGATCCTAGGCTCCACTTCCGGTTCCTAAGGGGCTGTCGTGTCGCCCCCGGAAGTTCCACCCTCACGCTCTAGGGCTGAACCACTCCTTCTGCCACGTCGGCAGTGGGCACGCGCCCAGAAGCCCGGATGCCGCGCATGCGCCAATTTCTTCCGCGATCCGGGCCGCCCCTTTGGAGGCTCCCACCGCACCCACCCCCCCGCCTCTTCCGATGTCCCGGTATCCTTACGGTTCCACCAGCCGAAAAGTGATTGCGAAGACTACTAGGTCAAGCTGTCTTTAGTAACGAATCCCTCAGTCGCCAGTGACCTGTTGGTGACCTCTGACCTAGAGTCCCGTACTTACTTCCTTTTGACCCCTGACCACTAACTCCATTGATTTCCGTCTTTGATGTTGTTCTCACCCTTGACCTTTGAGGGTTCCTGAGGTTTGCGGGACGTTTGAGAGAGTAAAGAACACTGACTGTAATTTAGGGTTTCGTGTTTTAGTGCCCTAGCTCTACAATCGCTATCTTGGGCAACTTAATCTCTGCCTCAGTTTCTTTCATCTGTAAAATGGAGAGAATATTAAATACCCATCTAATAGCGTGATGACTTTCTAGTAGTCACGTAGATTGCCTGGCACCATAGTAAGCAGTCGGTGGAAGTCAGCTGTTATTAACCACTTTTATACCGCTCCTTGGTTTAGATGCAGAGCTATGAAAGCCAGATGATCTCCAGTCTCATAATACAGCCGCATGTGGAAGAGCCACAGTTTCTGGAGTAATTATTATTACCCCTAATGAATAGCAATTGTAGCTAATCTTTGTATGATTTTTAAAATATATCTTATTTTGCTATGTATAAGGTACTCCTGTGTATGTACTGTGCACCCACATTTTCGGCCCAAACTTTCAGAAAAAAATACTTAAATTTTAAATTCAATTTATTTATATTAAGATAATGTTTTTTGTATTATAAAGAAATTTTAGCGTTTATTTTGAACATATTATGATACAAGAAGTTTTGTATAACAAATAATTACAAAACACAAGGACAGATAAAAGGTATTTCAGGTGCTACCCATGTATAATGCACATCCCTATTTTTTCCTCAAAAATTTGTGCAAAAAGTGCACATTATACATGGCAAAATATGGTACATGGCCTCACTGAATCATTTCAATAATGTTTATTTAATAATCATCTTTGAGCTCCAGGTGGTGTTGCCCAGTGGTTTGAGCACCCACCTGCAAACCAAAGGGTCCCTGGTTCCATTCCCAGTCAGGGTACATGCCTGGGTTGTGGGCCAGGTCCCCAGGAGGGGGCGTGTGAAAGGCAACCACACATTGATATCTTCCTCCCTTTCTTTCTCCCTCCCTTCTGCTCTGTCTAAAAATAAATAAAATCTTTAAGAAAAATTATCTTGGAGCACTGCCATGTGCCAAGCTATGTTCTTGGTTCTGGGAGCACAGTAGTACACAAAAGTTCTTGCTCTCATATTGTTTATGGTAAATATTAGTTATTTTGAGGCACAGAGTGGTATGAACCATTCATTGGAAAATATTGCACTGGTAGTCTGTGTCGGAAGCTGCATGAGGCATTGAGCAAGCTTTAGTAAATGAGTCAACTCCTGTCCTCAGGAGTTCATAGTTGAGGTCAGTAGTTCTCAAAGTGTGATCGTGGCCTCAACAGTATCGGTATGACCTGAGAACCTGTTAGAAATACAAATCTCAGACGCACCTTAGACATACTGAATCAGAAATTCTGGAGGTGGGCCTAGCAAGCTATGGTTTAATAGGCCCTCCAGATGATTCCTTTTGTACACTGAAGATTGAAACCCACTAATCTAGGTTAGTAACTTGCCAAATTCAATAACATTGTTGAACACCTACTGTAGGCTGGGATGCCTGCTAAGTATTTTCACATAATTTATCCCATTTAACTCATATCAGCATAAAAAAAATTAGTATCCTCTGTCTTGCTTACAGTTGCACTCCTAGTAAATGGTAGAGCCTAAATTCAGTTCCTTGAAAGGCTGATGTGTTGCATTTTATCACCTTCTATATCTCCACTTTGGTTCTGAATCTTGATGGCATATTAGAATCACCTGTGGTTCTAAAGCGGCAATACCAGTCCTGTCTGGTGTGGCCCAGTGGATGAGTACTGGCCTGTGAACTGAAAGGTCGCTAGTCCAGTTCCTGGTAAGGGTACATGCCTGGGTTGCAGGCCAGGTCCCAGGATGGGGGCGTGCGAGAGGCAACCCATCAATGGATCTCCTGCACAGCGATGTTTCCCTTCCTCTCTTTCTCCCTCCCTTCTCCACTTTATAAAGATAAATAAATGAAATGTTTTTAAAAATAAAACAAAAAATAGCCCTGGCTGGTGTGGCTCAGTGGATTGAGCGCAAGCCTGCGAACCAGACAATCGCGGTTCGATTCCCAGTCAGGGCACATACTGGGGTTGCAGGCCGGTTCCCTGCAGGCCAGTTCCCAGCAGGGGACGCACGAAAGGCAACCATACATTGATGTTTCCCTCTCTCCTTCCCTTCCCCTCTAGAGATAAATAAATAAAATCTTTAAAAAAATAAAAATAAAATAAAAAATAAATAAAATAGCCCTGGCTGGTGTAGCTCAGTGGATTGAGCGCAGGCTGTGAGCCAGAGGGTCGCCAGTTAGATTCCCAGTCAGGGCACATGCCTGGGTTGCAGGTCGGGTCCCCCAGTGGGGGCCATGTGAAAGGCAACCACACACTGATGTTTCTCTCCTTCTCTTTCTCCCTCCCTTTCTCTCTCTCTAAAAATAAATAAATAAAATATTTTTAAAAATACAAGGTTCTGTGAACTCTCCCTTTAACAAACAAACAAATAAATAGATAGATAGATAGATAAATAAATAAAGTGGCAATACCAGGTACCAGACCAATAAAAGCAGAATCCCTAAGACCTAATAATCACACCGATAGATTATTTCATTATATTATAATCTAATTCTATATGCTGTCTCATTTTAGGAAACCAGTAACTTTAAAAGTTTTCCAGGTAATTCTAATGTGCACTGAGGGTTAAATGAAAGCTTACATGTAGCTAACACTTAATAAATGCTTGAATAGTGAATGAATGGATATTTAGATACTCTTTTTACTGATGAGGTGAAGTAACTGCCCAAGGTAACTCAGCTAATAAATAATGGAACAGAAATCCAAATCCATACCTGATTCTGTATCCCAAGTGCTTTCTACGACTACATACACCAAGGTGAACAGCATTTCCCATACTAACAGAACAGCTGTTCCAGCAAATGCTGTAGCCTTTGATAATGACAGTGTTATAGTGTTTTATAACAGACAGCCCTTACCATAGGACACATTCATGGTAATGGAAACCTAAAAATAAGTAGGGGTTTTATTACTAACACGGGTTGGCATGTTTATGCACACCTATCTGTGTTCACCTTTTAAAATATATATATTTTATTTATTTATTTTTAGAGAGGGGGGAAGGGAAGGAGAAAGAGTGGGAGAAACATCAATGTGTGGTTGCCTCTCATGTGTCCCCCACTGGGGACCCAGCCAGCACCCCAGGCATGTACCCTGACTGGGAACCGAATTGGGAACCCTTTGCTTCACAGGCCCGTGCTCAATCCACTGAGTCACACCAGCCAGGGCCTGTGTTCACCTTTTTTTTTTTTTTTTTTTAAGATTTTATTTATTTATCTTTAGAGGGGAAGGGAAGGAGAGAGGGAGAGAAACATCAATGTATGGTTGCCTTTCGTGCATCCCCTGCTGGGAACTGGCCTGCAACCCAGGCATGTGCCCTGACTGGGAATCGAACCGCAATTGTTTGGTTTGCAGGCCCGAGCTCAATCCACTGAGCTACACCAGCCAGGGCCCGTGTTCACCTTTTTATGACTACCTATTGTAAGAGTCAATTTAATTTAGCAAACATTTATTGAGCACTGTTTACATCCATCATTGCTCTGTGGGTTGCTGACTGGCTGTTGTACATAGTCCTTGCCTTCGAGTTTCTCACAGTCTAAGCGTGAGACAGGCATATAAACAAACGATAATATTGGCTGAGAAATACAATTGAAACTATTGATGCATCTGTTGCACAGAAGAAGGAAGGCCTATTGTATAGGTAGGGAGTCAGGAGATGGGCATGAAAGGCTTTATGGAATAGGTAACAACAGTTCAACTGGGCCCAGGCTGATTAGAATTCCTCTACATTGCACCTAGCACTATGGTGGGGGATAGATTTCCATTTTGATTAATAGGTAGATTCATTCAGGAAGTGGGCATTCTTTCTGGGGACCTTGAGAATCTGTGGGACAAACTCGGCCATTCCTTGTTCTGGAATTGAAGCCCCTGCTGCCGCCACTTTGAAATGAGCTTTGGAGGAACGTGGTTGGAATTAGTCCATGACCCCATCGGGGGAAGCCACAATTCCTGAAAGGGTGTACATGAGTTATCGAGACTAGCGAGCTAGTACTCTGAGTCCTGAATAAAAGTCCCTTGCAGGAGAATGGGGGACAGGGGAGGACAGAAGTTTTTGCTATAGTTAGCTCTGGAAGTAATACAGCTGGGGGTGGGAGAAGAGTACAGCCGGCAACTATTTTGAGCACAACTCCGATTGACAGGACACGTGTGCTGGACTCTACTGATCCCAGGGCCAAGTTGCCTGCCTGTGGTGTGTGGTGTGTGGTGGGGGGGAAGGCCTGGGGCAGCAGGAGCAGGAGAGCCAGACACACAGGCCGGACGGGGTACCAGCACCTCGACTTCTCTCCCTGGGACACTCTCCAAACTGCGAGGGCCATAGGTCACCCTGAGCGATGGGTGCTGAGGAGGTGCTGGTCACACTGTCAGGGGGAGCGCCCTGGGGCTTCCGACTTCAGGGGGGGTCCGAGCAGAGGAAACCCTTACAGGTATCCAAGGTAAGGGAGAGCCCCTATATTGAGGTTTCAGGGAAAGGGGAAACCCAGGGGAACCTGGGAAGAGTCACGTGGTGGTCTATGGGGGAGAAGTGGGAGGCTATGAAAAAGAGGAGTGGGAGTGGGTGGGCAGGGAAGCATGCTGAAGTTTGGTGGGGGGA